CAAAGATGTTGTGTCCGCCGAGAACTAAAAAATAAATATTAAAAATTCTCTCTCTCTCTCTCTCTCTCTCTCTCTCTCTCTCTCTCTCTCTCTCTAAAAAAAAAAAAAAAAAAGAATGGGGCTGGGGTTGTGTGTAGCCCAGCGGTAGAGCACTTGCCTAGGCCCTGTGAGGACCTGGGTTTGATCCTCAGCCTCACATATAAATAAATAAATAAAATAAATGTTAAAAAAAGAAAAAAAAAGAAGGAAAGCTAGGGCAACTCATGTGACATTTACCCCCATCTCTTGATTTCTGTTAGTGAGAAGTTTGCTTTAGTCATTTGGAAATAAACCCACTGAGGTTTTGAGAGCTGATATATAGAGATGATCTTTTTAAGCCTTACATGGAAGGTATCAGAGGATTATTTAGTACGATATCCTCTTAAGTTCTGCTCTTTCTTCTTGGAAACAAGTAAATCATAATTTGGCTTCATGATTCGGTTGCCATAGTCATAGGAGCTGTGTGATACTGTGATCGGTTGAGGGCATCAGTGTCTGGCCACATTTTATCCTGGGTTGTGCTTGACCACTGACCACATGCCGTGCCTTTTTCTTTGCACCTCGATTGTACACCACAACCTAATGCTGCAACTAACATTGTTGTTCCACTGTTAGAAGCGGCACCCAAGGCCCACCCATCTGGGACTTGCCAGGTCACAGTTACTGAGAGTACTGGTTGTCTTACAATGTCATTTTCATGTAGTTGCTTTTTCCAAGTTTTAACTTGAGTTCTTGCATAAGTTCTCCAGGATAAATGGAGAATTTTCCTCAGATTTGAAATAAAGAATTCACTACTATATTCATCTTGAGACCACAGAGAGACAAGTGTCTGGGCTTTTGATCTTTTTTATTTTATTTTTTAAAAATTTTCCATGTGGAGTGTTAAAAAGGAAAAAGTAGTCAACCTATCGTGTTGAAGCATGTTATTTAAGTTGCTTGATTATAATGATATGCAAATTAAATATAGATGCACCACTTTTTAAAAGAAAGAAAGTGAAGAAGGAAGGAATTAAATGCTTTTAAGTGATTGTCTATATTAGAAACTCTTTTCTATTGGAAAGYATAGGACTGTTTCATCATTTTAATTAATAAGCAAAACACAGAAGATTTGTTGAAAAATTTAACCATTCTGTTTTAATGACTGTGCAAAACTGTGCTGATCAATCTTTTCTTGGTTTCCCAGGGTCGACATGTTAAAACGGGTCAGCTGGCAGCCATCAAAGTTATGGATGTCACAGAGGTAAGACTGGATCACATATTTTAAAGGAAAACCCACCAACATAAGAGTATTGTTCTGTTTGAAGATTCTGATTACTGAAACAAATTGCCTTGGTGTGACATTGTGAGTTCATAGATCTTGTAGCAGACCTGGTGACTTAAATTGTTCCAAATGGTTCCTCTAGATAGTAGCATTTGCTTAAACACACACACACACACACACACACACACACACACACACACACGAGTGATGTCATCTTTGGCAGCATATAATGGGCCATAATTGGAAACATCTTCTGTAATGGAAAATAAAAGATTTGAGAAGGGATCCTGGAGGTCACATGAACAAGAAGATGGAGGGGTGTGGGATGGGGAAAAGCTTCTCTAGGGTATTAGGCCACATTTGTATCATTTCTTTTATTTTTAACATGGGGGAAGAAAACAGAACCAGCCAAGTTCCCAGAGGTTGGAAAACAGAAACATCTGTTAGAATGCTGAGCAGATTGTTGGCAAAATTTAGTAGCAAAAAATAGTTATTGGAATGGTTGCATGAGGATTTACTGTGCAGCTTTAGATGGGAAAGAGAATTTAACTCAAACAAAAAGAGTGTGTGTATGTCCCTGTCCCTGTGAGTGTAAGAGACAGGATCTCACTGAGTTGCTTAGCACCTCGCTTTTGCTGAGGCTGGCTTTGAACTTGGGATCCTCCTGCCTCCGCCTCCCAAGTGGCTAGGATTACAGGCATGTGCCTGCGCCTGGCTTAAATTATTTTTACCTGTACACTCATATTGCTTCTGGTTTGCCTAATTATCAACAGGATTGAACACTGGATCTCATAGGTTCTAGAAAGAATTAACTAGCAGCTTTAGCAATTTAGAATAGCTTTAAATCAAGCCTAATTCCTCAAATCTGGGGGTCTTCCAAAGGTGATGATTGCTAATAAACTGATTTGTTTGGTGTGCTCTCTAGTAATCTGGAGAGTCCTGTGGCTGCCTCCTACTATGCTGATCTTCACATCATGAAGTGTTTTCTTTTTTCATCAAAGAGGATACTAGAGACAAATAAACAGACAAAAAAGCAAAAAATGCTGTTGCTTGGTGAATAATCTAAAGGTTCTCTAACAAATTGTGATAAGGACTATCGTGTTGAGTTACAGTGGTACTGTCTTGGCATGCAGCTCAATGGGAAATTAGATATTTTCCAGTTAAATATGGTTTTAAGATTATTTTAAAGAGTGGTGAAGAGCAGTAAATTCTTATTGTAATTTAAGTACAGTAGTTGAGTTATCTGTGAAGTGCCATCTCTGTGCCTGGAATGATCATTGGTACCTTCCTATGAAAATCTCTGTTTTAGTCAGCTATTTTGCTGCTGTGACTAAACCAGCACAATTGTAGGGGAGGAAAAGTTTACTTGAGGGCTTATGGTTTCAGAGGTCTTAGTCCATAGAAGGCTGGCTACATTTTCAGGGCTCGAGATGAGGCTGAGCATCGTGGCTGGAGAGTGTGGAGGGAGGGAAGCAGCTCACATCTTGGTGATCAGAAAGCAGAGAGAGACCCCAGTGTCCAGATACAAAATATATACCCCATAGCCATGCCCCCAGTGAACCACTTTCTCCACCCACACCCCACCTGCCTCCAGTTACCACTCAGTTAATCTCATTAGGGATCAATTCACTGATTAGGAGGATATAACCTAATCATTTCTCCTCCAAACCTTCTTGCATTGTCTCACAGTGAGCTTTTGGGGGACACCACATCTAGACCATAACAGTCTCCATTCATGTCATGGTATATATTTTACTGCCTTGAGAAATGGTGGCACTAGAGCCTGCATTCCCCCCCCCCCATATTTATTGACATACTTCTTGCCCTGTTTACTGCCAGACTTGTGGGTACCATTTTTAAATGTAAGCTTTGGAGTTTTAATGAATTGAGAGTTAAGTTTCTTTCCTAGGGTGCCTTTAGCCTGTGCTGCTGCTTCTAACACTGCTGTCGTGGCCAGCCAGTGAATGCCCTCTTTTACATCTCAGGTGTAACCCAATAGGCCCAAAGCCTGTAAGCTGGCTCTGATTATAAAGTGCAATACATAGTAGTCAGTGTGGAAAGAAAGTGTGAAATGTATGAGAATATAAAGAAAAAAGTAGTTGCTTATATTTCCCTGCCTTTTGACAGTCTTTAGTGGTGCTTTGGTGTATTTTCTTTAGACCATATCTCTGAGTGTAGCTGTAAAGTACTTCATATTTGCATGTGTAATAGATGGTTTTGCATTTCATGTGTCCTTAGATTCCCTCCTCCCCTTATGAGCTGGAGATCAAACCTAGGTCCTTATGCAGGTGAGCTAGGCAAGTGCTCTACCACTGAGCTACAGTTGAGTTGTCTACAAAAAGTATTTCCTTACCTTATTYTAAGACAGTGTTGGGCAAATGGATAATACAAGTATTTTCAGGACTCCTTAAAAAAAAAATAATGGAAAACCCATATGCTCAGGTGAAATGAAAACCAGATAGTGACTTTTTAAGAAAATAACAAAAATTAAAAAAACAAAAAACCCCCCAAACCCAAACCCAGTCGACCTTTTAGCATATTGGCCTTTCAGTGATGCTTCTTGTGTGCTGTTTTTCATGCAGTGACCTCTACCATAACCTGTGGCTCAGGAAAGACCCAGAGTAAGTGTTGATTATGGATAGAGGACCATGTGCAGCTGGCAGCTGGGAAAACATGCCTATCCTAACCCTAACCCTATCCTCCATGGCAAGGGCTCCCTGGCTGTTCTTGTGAAGTTGTGGGCCTTGGTCTGACTGGGAAAGAGATTTTACAGCTGATGCTCCTGGTTATAACTCCAGCAGGAGGGGCTGTTGGTAAGGATTTGCATGATGAAGGAGGATTCTGCTTGGTTTTTGATTTCCACTCAGTTTCGTCTTAGGAGCAAAAAGATACAAATACTTATTCTTGGTGTGGGGGGGTGAAATAGACTCAGGTGAAATAGAGAGGCTAAGTTAGCAGGCTCAGAAGGCAAGAAGAATTACAGGCGTGGGAAGTTGAATGGCAGCTAACTTCCCAGCAGTTAGCTGTTGGCAGTGTAAATGCGCTGAGCTCTCTGGAACTGACTTCAATTGAATGCAAAAATGTGATCCCTCTTCACTAGTGATTATGTGAAAAATCTGGAAACATAACCAATTGAGAATTCAGATTCCACTTTGGAGCGAGGTGACATGAGACCTTAGTAGCAAACTTAGGGGTCTAGAAGTGAGGCATTTATTTGTAAATGTATGGATCTCTTCACATTTCCTTTTGTTCTTCACTAGTATTAAGAATTGACTAGGACTGGGGTTGTAGCTCGGTGGTAGAGCACTCAGCAGCACATATAAACAAATAAAGGTCCATCGACAACTAAAAAATTATTAAAAAAATAAAAGAATTGACTAGGATTTTTAAGGATTGTTTTGAAGGAAAGCATGTCTTTGATTGGCTTTTGGGATAAGTTTAAGGAGCCAGTTAGCAATACATTCAGACTGGATGATACTAGCCCAACACGTCTGTAATGTGTGTTTTGTTTAATTATAGATTCACAGGAATTTGCAGAAAAATGTGTAAGAGTCCCACGTGCCCTTCACCCAGTTTACTCCATTGATAGTATCTTGCATAACTGTAGTACATTATCATATTTGGAGTACATGCATAAAACAAAGCAGAGCAGGTTATTGCTTTTATAAACTAAGGGTTTCACCGGGACTCCAAATTAGGCCGCTTCATTACACTTTGTTTGCCTGTATGTCTTAGGACAAAGACAGACCTGGAAACCAACTTTGGTTCAGTCCACAGAGCCTATTTAGATTTCCTCAGTTTAACATGTACTCATTTGTGATATGTTTTGAGGAATAGTTGAATTGGTCATTTATATTCTTTTTGTTTGTTTGTTTGTTATGGGGGGGGGGATACTGGGGATTGAACTCAGGGGCACTCAACCACGGAGCCACATCCCCAGCCCTGCTTTTTGTATTTTATTTAGAGACAGGGTCTACATTGAGCTGTTGAGTGCCTTGCTTTTTGATGAGGCTGGCTTTGAACTTGTGATCCTCCTGTCTCAGCCTCCTGAGCTGCTGGGATTATAGGCGTGTACCACTGAGCCCAGCAGTAATTTATATTCTTGATAGTTTTTTTATTTCAGTTCTTATGTCTTAATGTTAAACATTTAAATGGCTCTTATATTGTTCCTTTTACTTTTGAGTTAACATTACTTTCAGTTAACCTCTAAGATTAAAAACATGAATTAACTAGACATTAATGGTGCCTATTTGGGGTTCATAAACTCTTTGAGTAAGGCATGTCTGTAAGGATGGAATTTTATTTTGTGTTTTAATAACATTTCCCCAGCTTTTTATTATTAAAATTTTCATAATTACAGAATTGTTGAAATAATAAACACACTCTACACTTTACTTGAATTCAACAATTGTGTTAAAATTTCATTTGAGATGTATGTGTTATATATGTTGTTGTTAAAATTTATCAGTACCATCATGATACTTGATCTGTAAATACTTAAACCTGCCCTCTTAAAATAGACATTCTTTACATAATCATAATTCCAGAATTTCATTCTAATATTCAGTCTACAGTCAGATATCCTTGATTGTGCCAAGAATATTTTTATAGCTAAGTTTTTGAATCACAGTCTGATCCGGGTTTGTGCATTTCATTTGGTTGTGTTTTTTGTTTTTTTAAACTCATTTTTAAGCTAGTAATGATTCTTAGTAACCCCCTTGCCCCGGCCTCCCCACCTTTTGTGTGTGTTAAAGAAATGGACTTTTGGGAGAGCCCAGCCAATTGTTTTGCAAAATATCCTGCATTCTGGATTTGTCTAATAGTTTACTCATGTTACATTTTAACTTGTTCCTTTTTCTCCTGTATTCCTGTAAACTGGAAATTAGGTTGTGAGGCATGATTGGATGCAGAATAACTATTATTTGTCAAGAACACCTCATTGGTGATTTTAAGTATTATATACTTAATTATCAGGGACT